AATTTGGCATCCGGACGAGGGCACGTGGCCGGCGCCGTGAGAGCGGCTTCCCAGGTGAGAGTTGGAGAGTCATATCAGTGCTTTGAGTGAGAGCACGCCTGAGTCGGCCTTGAACATGATTGGCCGGTATGGACAGCCGTGCTTGGCCGAGAAGCAAACTGCCACTGGTGCGTACGTGCAAGTGCTCAAGAGGAGCGCACCGTTCCAACAGTCACCTGGAGTAGGATCCGCACGAGTGCACACTAGTGGTCTATTTCACGCCTGTGGTATTTGAAGTTCCTAGGGCACATGAGGCATGTGTGACACGGACTCGGATAGTTTCTCGGGCAGAAAGAGTAAGATGTTGTCGTAAATACGGTAATTGCTGCAGTTCAGTTGGTCTATTTTCTGTCGATACAGATGGAAGATATATTAGAGGTTCTAATCTCTGCAGAGCTTTTAGCTGTTCTAATATTCTGCCTCGGGCTTCTAACAGAAATAAGGTACAACTATTAACAATTCTATGGGCTTTAATTCGTTTTCAATGGAAATACCCGTGTTTGCGCAATTATTTTCTGGCAGTTCGACTATTTTAGGGTTCAGTTAATCTGAAAAAGTATCAATTCTGCTGTATTAATCTCGACACCCAATCAAAAACAGCTTGAAAATAGAGACGTAGAAATATGCGCCGAGCTATTTTACTAGGTTGTACGGCGGAAACCTCCACTGCCGTTGATAGTAAAAGCCGTTTGTTTCGGTATTACTTTTGCAATGGAGTTATTTGTTGAAACCGTCTGATTGTCAAAATAATAATAGTCTCCATTTTGCGAGTACTCTGTGCGGGACAAAGTAAATCCAGCGCAATTTTTTAAGCAGTTGTTTGTGTCATTATTTTAAAATATCGGTACCAATAATGGAGAATACTGAAAGAAGTCGATGGAGGGTTTGTTGTGAGGAGTGAAACAATTCGAGCTCTGCGAATATCCGTTAACGACTTCTTCAGTTACCTTCCGAGGCCGGGGCTATCCTTTGCTAGATTGTATACAAATAAGCCATTATTTCGTGCTAACTAAATTCTCTTCCTTTCAACTGCTAGACTACCTCACGCCATCCATCGTAATCACGCCAGGAAGTGTGACAACATTGCCCTGGAAACGATTCGACTTCACGTGTATTGCTCAGGCTGACAGTCTGGCAAGTGTCCGCTTCGAAAAGGATGGAAGGCCCGTGGATGCCGATCCCCGTTTCCAAGTCGTTCGCATCAACAGCACAGCCGTCCAAGTCGTCGCCCCACAGGGTCTACGTGGAATGGATGATATGGTGTTAATGTAGGCGCTTCCTTATTCCCCCTTTTATACTTTTTGCTTTGAAATTGCCAGTTGCCAGAGCATGGACCCCGACCAAATCTCCAAAGGTTTGGTAACAGACTTATCCGCTTACTCCTCTGTCACGAATCACTCCTCAGAAGATGCAAGAATTAAAAACTACTAGGTAACTACTCAGTCAAGGAAATGATAGACACCCGGAGCCCGGAGTCGAAATATGTTCAGAGGAATATTGATTGAACGCAGATTTACTGATGGATCACCATGAGTTCTTCCTGCTAAGCAGATGAGGTGAATTCAACATTTACGAAATAAGCTAGCACTTCTAGAGGAAAGGGCAAGACGGAGTAGCAGGTTCACTTGCTAACTGCGACCTTATTACTGTCAGCGGGCTGACGTCACGACCTTCTATTTTTATTGTAACTGCAATTAGCTACTACCGGTCATGCTCTTCTCGGTGTCGGTGAACAAGATGGTCAATTCAAAATGAGCCCTCAACGAAACATAATCCGAGTTAGTCCTACAAAGTTTTCGGTAGAGATGACTTGAGCATGAGAACCGGAACCATCCACAATATAGGTGTATTTGCATCAATTTATAAGGAACTCACGATTAGGCTTAAGTCTAGAATTACGTTTAGCATTAAAGTACGTTAAGGTTAATTGTTAGTTGTAGCGCTAGGTCTAGGATAGGGCTGTGGCTTAGGTTTATGTCTTGGTTAGTGTTAGCGTTAGATCACGGAAATATTCCCCTTCCTGACATTATTGACAAGGTCACCTTTACTAGTTTGGCGGGACTTTCGTATTCTTGTGTCTTGTTAAAGGGGCCATATAAGTTATTCTTATCGGGCATTCTGCAGAGGGTTACGAAGGTAGCTTGAGCAGTCGCAGAAAGTGAATTAAAAGTTTATTTCACAACTTAAAAACTGCGGAAGTGCAGTATGTTTTGAAAAGCCGAAAAATGTCAAATTTAGGAGTTGTTTAACTGTTGCATTTTTTATAACTTCACTGCTATCTGTCAACCTCTCATTCAACCACACCACCACATGTATATTTTATGAAAAGTATGTTACGGGACACATGCTTATCACATGACAATAATTGATCGTCTTGTTGTATTAATTAAGCCTATTTTCACGCCAGATGTGTGTCGGCAAAGGGTCAGAGGAAGGAAATCACTGTCACCGTGGAAGACAATTGTCAACCTGGTTATTCACGCTGCCTCGACGGCACCTGCATCCCGTCCACATCGTTTTGTGACAACAAGATCGACTGCCCAGACCGGTCAGATGAACATCGGAAGTTCTGCGGAGGTAAGTATCCTTTATCCTCTTCTTACATACGGTAGCTAGCTTATTAACTGTTAGCCGAAAAGTGTTCTCGGTTCGGAAAGTAGACTTGTAATATTAATTTTCGTACGGCATAATCCCAAAACAGTTCAATCATGCCAGGATATCGGTTTTTGGGTGAACCCCTTTACGGCCGTCGCAACCTTTGCACTCGTTAAAAATAACTACGTAAATATCATGCATTTTCCCATTAATTGTCGATACAGTTATAAGTTCTAATGTATTTACTAGGAAAAACGCAGAAATATTCCCTTCTGTGCTTGGTTGCAAGTAAACTGAATTTGGTTAATTCTATACTCGGAAAAGCTTCCAGTTATTAAATGTTTAAAGCTGTGAAGTTTTGATTCATGAGGCATTGTGTTGGTCAATTTATAAATTCCATTTATCACGTAACCAACATGGTCCACATCCATAGCAAAATTCTAAGACCTCTTGAGTGGGCTGTATATTGAATGAAGTTTGGAAAGCCCAAGTACCAGTGCAACTGCAGGTCGTGTTCAGAAGTATACAAGAATTGGAAAAGTTCTTTAAAAACCAAAGATAGTGTTTCTTCAAGCATCGATTTTGAAGAATAAGTCATTTACTACCAAATTTGCAAGAGGAAGAATTATTTTGTACATGTTTCCGATAAAACATATTTTCGTGCATAAAGCCATCGAACATCAAAATTAAGAAAGCATACTAATTAAGAAGCCAGCTTTACAGAGAAACATTTTATAGCCGAAAGTATTAATATCCATTCGACAGACGACATCCTCACGTGATTGAGTTGTCTTGATATAATGCTGCACGCTAAGTAGTATCCGAACCCTAAGTACGTAATGTTTTCGGATCGAAATCTCATTTCAGAAGTTCGGTTAACCTTTGACGAGATAGCACATCTACTGTACGTCTTACCTGATCAGAAGTTTTGAAGGCTATAACTCCCAAGTGAACTTTTTACATACTTTTCCTTCTGCTGATGGGAACCCCGTTATAACAGTCGTAGCTGGAAACCTTAATTTTTTGCCATAGATATTCGGCTTTTTGGCAAAAGTAGCTTATGTAGGCCCACTCATATACCCCTAGT